TTCTGCTGTGCATAAGGTCGCTATGAGTAGATGCTGACTCAATGGCACCTAACAACAACAACAAATATCACAGGTTAATGTACAGTTTCTAAAAACAGAGAAAGTAGAGACTAACCACCCTTTAGGAAAATGGGCAAGAGATATGAACAGCTGGTTCAGAGAGAAAAAGGAAGGAATGCTGGGTCTAAGGTAAACGCATATGTAATTTTGTTGGGAATTGCCAAATACCTCTTCTTTTCATTCTCACCAGCAATGTATGAGAGCGCTGATTTCCACTTATCACATGTTGCCAAGCTTTCGATTTCTGTCAGTCTCGTAAGTAATGAATAAGCAGCTTAGCTGGGAACCAAAAGGTCAGTGGTTCCAACCTACCAACTACTATGCAGGAAAAAGATGCGGCAGTCTTCTTCCATGAAAACAACAGTGAAATAATGATGTACCCAAAACCCACTACCATTGAGTCTATTCCAACTCACAGTGATGCTAGAGGACAGAACAGAGCTGTCCCATAGTTTCCAGAGCCAGTGGTGTGTATGAATTTGACCTTTTGGTTAACAGTGTAATGTTTTAATCACTGTGCCACCAGAGTTCCTTGAAAAAATGATCTAAACAATAAAAATCGATGTCAGCTAAAATCACTAAAAGAAAAGTTGATGGAGAACTTTGTAAAGAGGATGGGTCAGGCTGACAAACCCTAAGATACCAAAGATAGAATCAACCAAACATTATGATCCTCTAGCTGTGCTACCACAGGATGAACAAGAAGCATTCTTGCAAGTCCCTGGTGTCACGTCCTAGTGGTGGAGCAGGCACAAGTGAGCACAGTGAGTTCCTTGCACCAACTGCTGTCAAGATGGCTTCCCTCTGATACCTTCCTTCCTTTCCATTCGTTCCTGGTTTCTATTAGGAGTGGGGAGGAACCTACCAACACCTCTTTCTTACTCTGACTTTAAAATTATCGTGAAAGTGTGTGGCATGCAGCAACTTTTATATTATAAAAGATAAAAGGAGAAGTGAGCAGAGAAGGGGGATTTAATACTACCAAGAAAGAAAAGCTGGGAATGGAGTGGGTCCTTTGGACCTGGGGTCCGCACGATGTGAAGCTTCTAGGTCCAGGGAAAGACCAATGCGAAGACACACGGAGCTCTCCAAGGAATGCTGTGCCTACAGATGCTGAAAGAAGACAAGGACCTATTTCTAGAGCCAGTGCTCTGAATTTGGACTTCTAACCTCCCAAACAGTGAGAGAATAATAAATTTGTTGAAGCCATCTATGTGTGGTATTTCTGTTAAGCAGTACAAGATAACTAAGATCCTCATATCCCTGAAGAGTACCATGAAAGTAGCTAAGGGAAAGTCAGTGACCTGAGAAAGCTTTACGGCTGGAATGATAAAATTGCAGCACAGGCCTAGGATGATGGATGACCAGGTACCAAACAGAACTAGACACAGAAGATGCACAGTAAGAAAGATGTTCCCTGCACTGCACGTGCCCAGTGCCCTGATCCTTCCCCGACTCTTTGGCCACTTTAACATAAGCCTACCAAAATCACCACTACCACCACCACCAAAATGAATACTAAAAATCAAGTTCAATTAAAAACAAATGTTTTTTTGAATGCCTGAGTTTGTGGTTTGAAATCTCAATAGGCGGGAAATGAAACAACCACCATTCTCCCTAATAGTTTCAAGAGGAATAGGGAAAAACTATGTCTCCTCATGTCTTGTTGCCTAGGAAAATTACGTAACGATATAACCTCTGCATTGTTGTTGCTGCTAAGTGTCGTCGAGTCGGTTCTGACTCACAGCAACCCTGAATAGGGTTTCCAAGGAGCAACTGGTGGGTTTGAACTGCAGGCCTTGTGGTTCGCAGTCCGATGCTGATTCTACAGCACCATATAGTTGAGATTATTACCCAAACTTCTAAGTTTTATATTTAATGTAAAAATCCAAAATAATCACCTTGAAGTGACTTTTTCACACTTCCATAACACTAATTCTTTTCTTTCTCCTGTCATATTGTCATATAACATTTTACAGCTCAAACACATTTAAGTTCATTTTAAGATTCTAACAACTTACAGAAAATCCATTCTGAATGAGACTGCCAGACACCAAATACGTGACGTGCAGTTGGGCTCCTGAATTTTCCTTTCGCTTTCTTTCAACATAATCATACAACATCCTGTACAAAAAGGTAACAACAAAAAAAGCACAAGTCAGTCCTTAGTACAAGTTTTAACCTCATCAACTCTGAATTTCATAATTTTAAAAGTTATATATCTTAAATCTGTAGTCCATCAAATTTTCTAAACAACAGAATTTTTCCTAACAGTCTATGGGGAGAAAGTTTAAGAGACATAGGACATGGGGATTGGAGTCAATTTTATTAAGTTAGCACAGTGATCCAGTTAGTGCCTGAAAAAAAATAAGTATAATAGGCCAAGATGGATTAAACATGCATTAAAACAGAGGCAATGGGATATAATAGACAGACCAGACCACTCCAACAAAACTACGTTCAGTCACTATCTAGCTATGGGTACCTAGGTAAATTCAATAATTTTCTAGGCCTCTATATTGAGGTTTAAAATCGGAAGGCTCTACTAGATTGGAATCCTGGTGTGGCGCTCACTGATGGTTAATGTGCTAGACTGCAAGGTCGGTTTGAACTGCAAGGTTGGCAGTTCAAGCTCACCAGTCACTCCTCAGAAACCCTATGCAGGTTCGCTATGAGTAGGAATCGACTCAACGGCACTTAACAAGAAAGTATTAGATTAGTAATTTTCTTAATTACATGCCAATCTTGAACCATCCCTCAACTCCTAAAATTATATGCAAAATGTGTACATATGTGCATTTTTGATGGGGAAAATTTCAAGGTTTTCAACAGATTCTCAAAATGGTTCATTATATTCATAGCATTAAAAACCACTATACAGATGATCAGAGTCCTGGTGTGGCACTGTGGGATAAAGAAGCAGAAGCAGACTGCAAGCTCAGTTTGAACCACAAGATAGTCAGTTCAAACTCACCAGCCAATCCTTGGAAACCCCATACAGGGTCACTATGATTTAGAACCAACTCGACAGCACTGAACAACAATATGGGGATGACCACAAATGTCCCTTCCAGCTCTGAAATTGCAGTGTTATTATCACTCAGATTTCAATGCAGCTTTGGGACCACAGAATGTTAACAGCTTACTTCAGAGTATTCTCTAACCTGAGACTGCCAAACACCCAATGAAAAAACAATTCTGGTTTGAGAAATATTCCCAAATTCATTTTTAATTCTGTTATCCAGCAACTATCAAAAGCTGGCTCCTTCCTACTCAATAACTTAGTTTTAACCCCTCTTTCTTTCATTTATCTATTTCAAGAAATGTTTACTGAGCCTCTGCAACATGTCGTACTTCTGCCACAGCCAAACACAAAAGCTCATTTTGCACTGTTGATAACTCACTCTTTTCTTGAACCATCCTCTCTTGGTTTCCATTAAGCCATGCCTCACTGAGCCTCCTCCTACCCTTCTCACTGCCACTTCTCCATTTCCTGCACAGATATATCTATCTACCTCTCCCCTTGGTGCTGTCTTCAACTATCTTAACTCTCGTTTCACTCTAGATAGTGACCAACCCTCCTGGTTTGCCCAGATCTGAGACGATTTCTGGGATATGAGGCTTTCAGAACTAAAACACGACAGGACTGGGCAAACCAAGATTGTTGTTGGTTACGTTCCTAGAAATTCTCCTTGGTTTCTTTAATTCATCCCTATAGTTTCTATCCTCAACAATATGATCTCCTCAAATCACCCAAGTCAGAAATCTGGGAGTCATTATCCTTCACTTCTGTCTATTCAGGGAGTTGCCAAATATCTCAATTCTCCCTCTCAAAGAATTCTGGATTCTATCCTTGCCAAATCACTTGATTAGATCATTTCACTCCAGGTGTCAGTTCTTCTACCTCCTCTTCACTTCAGTAGCCACAAAGCTACCATAGTAAAGTTTTAAAAATGCAAAGTCAAAAAAAATGCAAAATAAAAATTTACTGACTGCCTACTTTTATGTTCTAGACCTTGAGGACAGAGCATTGAGCAAAACATGCAAAGTTCTAATTCTGTTGGAGCTTACACTGTAGGTATGAAACAAACAATAAACAAATACATAATGCCAGATGGGAGTTAAAAGTAATATACGAAGAAGAGAGTACCTGAGAAGTTTTAGAATTTTATCTAAGATGATTAGAGAAGGCCTCATGAGCAGAACTCTGCAGGAAGTGAGGCAGCCACCAAGGTGGATATGTTGAAGGAGAATGTTCTAGACATAGAAAACAGCATATGCAAAGGTTCTGAGGCAAGAATGTACACAAGATCCAAATAACTAAAAGGTCAGTGTGGCTTGAGTGGAATACAGAAGGAGAGTGGTCGGAGGGCCAGACATGACGGGCTCGATGGCTACCATTAAGAAGTCTGATGAAGAAAGGACGGCATCAGGAAGGTTTAGAATTGAGAAGTAATGGGACTTCACTTACCTTTTAGAAGGATCCCTGACTGCTATGTGGAGAATATATGAGGGTAAGTAAAAAAGTAGGGTTACAAAATTATCAAAATACGAAGCTACTGTTCCTTGACAAGTCTCCGTACAGGTCTATACAGTTCTAAAGGTGATGTTTACAGTTCTCTTAATTCTCCCCTGAAGAATTCTGCACTCTTTGATATACATGACATCAAAATGGCAGCTTTGGTATCCTCAAGAGACTGAAATCATGTTCCTTTTAAATGTTGAGTTTTAGGAGTAAAAAGAAGCCTGAAGGACAAACATCAGGGCTGTAGGGTGGATGAGGTAAGGTTTCCCAACAAAATTCTCATAGGACCCTCGAAGAAGTAAACACACTGTGATGAAAAGCAAAAAAAAATCTTGGGAACAACTTTCCTAACCTCTTTCTCACATGCAGTTTTCAATTTTTGTAAATTTCTTCCAAATAAACCCCTGTGATAGTCCTGTATCCTTCAAAACAAATCTATCAATATTACCTCTATGGGATCCAAAAACTCCACCCACCGTAACCTTTTGAGCTGACCTCTCTGCCTTGAATTTAACTGGCCCAACAGATCCCCTCAGAAGGCCAGTTTTGACTGGACTTATTTTGAAAGTAGCTCTAACAAGATGAAGACAAGTATATTACTATGAGAGCTTGTCTGCAATCATTCACTGATCACAAAAACATGTTTAAACACATTTTGTTTGGAATGAACCCAAGCATGTGACCTGAAATCCCTAGTAGCAATACTTTTTGACTTACCCTAGTACTGTAGAGAAACAAGACTGGATGCAGGGGGACCAGTTAGGAAGGAGGCTTTTGTAATAATCCAGGCTAGAGATGATGGTGCCCTACACTAGGGTGACAGGAGTTGTTGTTGTTGCCATCGAGTCGGGTTAAGTTGTTGTTAAGTGCCATCGAGTCGGGTCCGACCCATAGCGACCCTGTACAGGGTTTCCGAGGGTGTAAATCTTTACGGGAGTAGAAAG